GCAGTTTAATGCAGAGAAGTGGGGCTTTATTTTTTTTTCCCCATATTCTTTCAGCAGGTTTGGGTGCCAACATTTGGTGTCCATCGCTAACTGCCCTGGAATGGAAGGCCTTTTTAGACTCAGAGGACCTGCAATCGTGTGTAGCCAGACCAGGAAATGACAGATTTCCTTCCCAAAAAAGGGGTATTAGTGAACCAGATGGGTGTTTTTTTTTAATAACAGGAACTGGTGATCATTCATGGTCATCGTCATGGATACTAGCTTGGTCCAACCAAGACGGCGGCCAAAGAGATGACAGCACCCGAGCTCTTGAGCCCGTTCTCGTCCATTCCATCTGCTTTTCTATTTTTTTCTAATTTTTTGCCTTTTTTTTCCTCTCCTTTTTAAGTTTCTTAATGCTTTTTCACTTCCCTTCTGGAGAGGGCCCAGTCATGAAGGCAGCGTCTAGGGCCCAGCATGAGTCAAGATGGCGACAAAGCTGCTGGCAAGCCCTGGGCAGAGACTTTGACCCGAGCAGGTGAAAGCGTGCCCAGCCTGGGGAGACAGCAAGGCATTGTGGGGAAATCCCAGTGTGGCGTAACTACAGTTCCAAGGCTCAAGAAAGGACTGTGGATGTTGAACTTCCAACTTTAATGTCTTTATTTTTCTACTTTACACTAAGAAGAACTGTGATGGTGAACCTTTTAAACTTATTTCGTTATTTTTCCATTCTTGCACTGAAGATTTTGTACCTTTCTACCTAACATGGCACCAGGAATGGTGACATTGTACACGTTTCACTGTACTCCGGTACATGTGACAATAAAGCCTGAACCTAAATCTATATTTTAGAATCCAGATTCTTAACTCAAATTCCTCCAGTTGCTACGGTGATGCATTCTGGTGGCACGATTGAAGATGGGCAATGGGAAAATCTAAAGGGCGTGCAGCGACGAGGGAGACCAGGGGTTATATAAGACCATAAGACATAGGAACAGAAATTAGGCCATTCGGCCCATCGAGTCTGCTCTGCCATTCAATCATGGCTGATAAATTCCTCAACCCCGTTCTCCTGCTTTCTCCCTGTAACCCTTGATCCCCTTGATAATCAAGAACCTATCTATCTCAGTCTTAAATGTACCCAATGACCTGGTCTCCACTGCCTTCTGTGGCAGTGAATTCCACAGATTCACCACTCTCTGGCTGAAGAAGTTTCTTCTTATCTCTGGTCTCCCCTTTACTCGAAGGCTGTGCCCTCAGGTCCTAGACTCTCCCACCAATGGAAGCATCTTCCAACATCCATTTTGTCCAGGCCATTCAGTATTCTGTAAGTTTCAATTAGATCCTTCTAAACACCAATGAGTATAGGCCCAGAGTTCTCAAACGTTCCTGTATGTACACAAGTAAGTGAAGTTATCAGGGCATGTTGTGAAACAGTGAATAAACCATACAAGACCTGGGCTTTACTAACACAGGTACAGAATAGCTTCAATCGACAGCCTACTTCTGCTCCATTGTCTTATGGTTTCGGACTTGCTGATTTCTCCTCCCTGCTAAATCTACCCCTCCCGCTCCTCTCCCCCACAGCACCCTCAGTGTTGAGTCACGTCCCACTGGTGGATTTGCATGTGGAACACTAGGCTTTGCGAAAGCGCGCCATCATGAAGCATGTCCAAAACAAAAAAGGTCGACATCCCTGAATCTCCAGGTCGTCACCCGATTGGACCACAGTTAGCAGCCTGGTTCCTGAGCGACACCAAGGGAGTTACCTCACTACACAGCAAGGTTACTAAAGGGCCACTTTCCAGCAGAATTCAGCCTCTTGGGAAGCTGCAGATGCAAAGTTATGATTTGCATCCACTGATTTTAATCTGGGCTTTGGAGAATGGCTGCATTGGAGCAGTATAATGAAGAATAGCTCGGAGAGAGGCCATTTAGCATATCATGCTAGATCTGTGACATGTCTGTCCAACTATCCCCACCTCCCTGTTCTCTCCCCATAGCCCTGCAAGTCATAGAGATGCACAGCAAGAAAACAGACCCTTCCGCCCAACTCGTCCATGCTGACCAGAAATCCTAAATTAATCCAGTCACATTTGCCAGTATCTGGCCCGTATCCCTCTAAACCCTTCCTGTTCATGTACCCATTCAGATGTCTTTTAAATGTTGTCATTGTACCAGCCTCCAACACTTCCTCTTTCACTGAGGACAATTTCGAATTTTGCAGATGACTCAAAACTTGGGAGAATTGTAAGCTGTGAGATGGAGAGTGCTTAACTTCAAGAGACTCCATTGAGTACCAACACAGATTCCTCAACCGCTCCTCATAATGCAAGCCCTTCATCCCCAGGAGCATTCTTGTAAACACTCCCTGGACCTCCAAATGTTAGTGGAGTGGGTAGATGGGCACCTACTAAATTTCAATGAAATTCAGAGGTGAAGAGAATAGTACAAAACAAAAGAAATGAAATAAAGTATAAAACAGTGTTTAAGAAAAGAACTTGGAGAGACAGAATAAAACAAAGGGTTCGAGGTTAAAGGGTGCACCGGAGCAGAGAGACTTGCTGTGTATGTGCATAAGTCATTAAATGAGCAGGACACGCAGAGAGAGCTGTTAATAAAGCATGCAGTATTCTAAGTTTCATTAATAGGGACACAGAGTGCCAGAACAGGGAAGTTTGTGAATCTATATACAATTTTAGGTTCAATTCCAGCTTGCGTTCTGGCTGCCACATTTTAGGAAGGATGTGAATGCATTGTCGAGAGCTCAGAAAAAGGTTTATGAGATTGGTTCCGAGAAACTTCAGTTATGAGGAGAGACTGAAAGAGTTGGGATGGTTTTCCACGGAAAGGAGAAGGCTGAAGGGAGATTTGATCGAATTCTTGTTGGAGCAGATAAGGAGAAACTGTTCCCGCTTGCAAAAGGATCAAGAGCCAGATAGCACAGTTTTAAAGTGTTTTGCAAAAGGGGCAAATTTAAGGCGAGGTAACATTTGTTCACAAGTGCCTGAGTTTGGAATGTACTGACTGGTTATATTGGAAGATTACACTGAGGCACTCAACAGATGGTTGTTTGGAGAGAAATAAAATGCAGGGTTACAGGGAGGAATCACAAGGTTCTACACAAAGTCAAGATGCATAGAGAATGGCTGGATTGGCGGAATGCGATCCTCCTGCACCATAGTAATTCTGTGATACTCCATCAATCACTTTGTTGCCCTTAAGCTGTCTGAATCCCTTCACAGCCTCCTCACAGCTTACATTCCCATCTAGTTTTGTACTTCGGCAAACGTGGATCCTGCACTCTCAGAGTCGAGGAGAAAACGAGTCTCAAATTCCAACAGCCCCCAGCACAGCACTGCTCACTCCTGATTTATTCCCTTCCAGTGTCCAAACCCAAGCATAATCTGGCTGCATTCGGTTTCTTGGGATATGGGCACACTGGAAATCGGAGCAGGACAGGGCCATGCATCTTCCCTAGCTCTCTCTGCCATTCAACTCAATCTTAGCTGATTTTCCACCTCAAGGCCATTTACCCACACTGTCGCCAGTCTATTGGTATTTTCAATATCTCGAAATACATTGATCGCTGCCTGGAATGTATTCATTGATACAGTCTCTACAGAATTCCAAGTCTACTGAATGAAGAAACCCAACCCCGTCTGAGTCTTCAATGGTCTCCACTTTAAATATGAGACATTTGCCCATCATTCTAGATCCCCGCATGGCCCCATACTGTGGGTGTAGGCACCTGCATCCTCTACCCATGTGAGTACTGTGAGAATTTTGCATGTAGCAGCAAAGTTTCCTCTAGTTCTAAGCTGTACAGCATATTGAGACTGACCCTCACAGTCTGACCCTGTCACGCTGACAACGTCCCTCACAGTCTGACCCTGTCACGCTGACAGCGACCCTCACAGTCTGACCCTGTCACGCTGACAGTGTCCCTCACAGTCTGACCCTGTCACGCTGACAGTGACCCTCGCAGTCTGACCCTGTCACGCTGACAGCATCCCTCACAGTCTGACCCTGTCACGCTGACAGTGACCCTCGCAGTCTGACCCTGTCACGCTGACAGCAACCCTCACAGTCTGACCCTGTCACGCTGACAGTGTCCCTCACAGTCTGACCCTGTCATGCTGTGAGTTACCCTCACTGTTTTTTTGTTTCAAAAATATGTTTTATTCATGAAAAACGTACAGTCACTAAAGCAGTTTGGTTCTGTACAGTAGCATATGAAGAAAACAAGAAACACTGGAGTTAGACTCTGTATAAAAAACAAATTGAAAGGCATCTCTTACTTGAATCAGACTATGTTTACATATATTTGTCACACTAGGATGGTCCGAAACCTGAACAGACCCCCATTTAACTTCAGCAGGAAGACCTCAGACGGTGGTATTTCCCCACTGCACCTTGGCGGTGGCTGCCCCGAGCTTTAGTGCATCCCTCAGCACCTAGTCCTGGACCTTGGAATGTGCCAGTCTGCAACACTCGGTCAGGATCAACTCCTCGCTCTGGAAGACCAACAAGGTTTGGGCAGACCAAAAAGGGTCTTTCACCGAGGTGATGGTCCTCCAGATGGTCTCAGTGTGCATCCTGGGGAACGGGCCACAGAGCACGACAATAACCACTGCATCATTCTCTGGGCTTCCTTTGCAAAGACACATTCCAGCAGGAGATGTGTGACAGTCTCTACCCCAATGCAGCCACTTCCAGGGCAGCGTGAGGTGGCGATGAGAGACCGGGCACACGTTAAGGATCTCACAGGTAATGCCCCTCTCACCACCAGCCCAGCGATGTCCCTCACTGTCTGAGCCTGTTACACCAGGAACCTGGGTCTAAAACATTTCAAAGGTGGCGAATGTTATTTGAGTGCCAGAAGCAAGGCTGGTCCTCTCAAGAGCACAAAGGTACAAAGACACCCCCCCACCCCTCTCCCCCACCCCCCCGCTCCCCCCCCGCCCCCCCACTCTCCCCCCTCCTCCCCCAAGAATTGAAAGACAGCTTGCTCCACTCACCGGAGGGGAGCTCAGATCTGGGTCCCTGGCTCTGTAACCACTCAGCACCACGCTCGCATCTCCGGAAATCTCCAGCCTGACTCCATCCAGGATGTGGCGGACTGTCCGAGGCAGCATCCCAGTCTCCTGCCGGCCGGGAAGCATCCGCGACGGAGGGCGAGGAGGGGGGAAAGGGTCACTCCCTTCCGCTCGGGCGTGCTCGCTCACCAACCGGCCTCCCTCGGGAGAAAGCGAAAGGGGCAGCTCGATCCTGGGGTTCCCCAGCCAGCGGCCACCCCTCGGGATCTGACCATGCTTGCTCACCCCCCTCCTTGCTGTCTCCCTCGCAGCACCCCGCACCCCCCAACCAACCCTGTCACAGCGGCAGAGTTGAAAAGAGCAAAAAGGGAGTTAACCAGCGAAACTTTGGCCAAGCTGCTGTGTCCCCATGGTAACGACAGGCACACCTCCTTATCAACACTCGGACGTCTGAAGTTAGCAGCCCTCTGAGCTCTGGATGCAAAAGCCCATTATGTCCGGTCCACTCAAAAGTCTCGTCTCAAACTCAGCCACCAGCAGTTACATCCCCTTGATCCGCACCGTCCTGGGCTCAAACTGGACTCTGCTTCCCCCTTTTGTCCTTCAGACACAAAGAGAGAGAAAGAGAGAAAGAGGAAGTCACAAGTGTTCACTAACTCGTTGCAAATTTGCTCACAAGGCACGCAGAATTGAACACGAAGCCTCAGAAGTGCTGCCGGCTCTCCTTCACCTCGGATACCCAACCCACCCCCCCCCCCACCCCAGCCCCCAAAACTCCTTTCCCTAGCTGCCCCGAGGCCGGACAGATTTAAAAACCCGGGAGCAGAGGAAAGGCGGCGGTCACTTGAAACAGCGGGGCAATCTAGAAAGGAAAACGCAGAAAGCTGTGTCGCTTTCAAAAGACTGGGAGGATTACAATAACAAAACAAGGCAGGGTGGTGCGGACTGATGGGCCTTTCTCAGCATCAGCAGTGAGAGAGGGAGGGGGGGACGTGCCCTGAACAATCTCAGGCACTGGGCAGTGAGGGGAAGCTGTATCAGGTTCAAGGTGCTTCTGGTGTTTCAGACTGACTGGTGGAGATTCACAGTTACATAAGAATGGCCCACATAGGACGAAGTATAGCAGCTGTCAGCGCACACACACATAGACCAACACACACACAGACCCGCAATTGCACAGACCTACACAGATACGCATACACACACACACAGACCAATTGACACAGATACACAGGCAATCACACATAGACAAACAGGCGCGTACACACTCAGACACACAAGAGACTCACTGACACACGTGCACACACACACATACACAGATACACATAGACCATCCCCCCAGACACACACACACACATTTACACATACACAGTCACATGTACACCACACACACACAGATACACACGCAGACACACATATACACGCTGACTCAGGCGCACAGAGACACACAGACAGGCACACACACAGGAGCACGCAGACACACATATACACACTAACTTACATACGCACAGAGACCCACAAGTACACAGAGATACATATACACAGGCACACGTATACTCAAATACACACAGATACACACTTACAAACAGGCGGCTGTCCGTCTGACATTCCGCGCAGATCAGGTACTTACCCAGCGTCAGGAAATGCCCAGCAGCTAACTACGTGCCGGGCCGTGAAATCGGAGGCACACTCGCCTTCAGCGGGCAGTCCCCGGCACTTAATGACCTTGGTCCGGAAAGCACCAAGAGTTATCCTGCCGGAGGGAGGAGGTTCTTGGCAGCCGAGGCGAGAGGAACTGCAGAGTGAGAGAGGGCTGTTCAGAGTCAGCAAAGCAAGGGGTGGAGAAATAGAGAGAGAGCTGGATAAAGGCAACACCCCTCTCTCTGATTTCAGCGAACTGCTGAAATACTCTGAAGGTTTCGTTAGAGCCGGTTTCATTCAGGCTGTTTGTACTAGGTGCAGCCGCTATTGCTGCTGTTCATTCACAAGAGGAGGTTGCATAGGCTTGCAGGCGATAACGCTAAAGTGGTTTCACTCCTATTTTTTTCTTTTGCAGGTTTGCATCAATGCACCAAGCCTGTTCTCTCGGTCGTCCACGCCCCCGTCTCGGCAGGAGAACTGTGCTAAGGTTTTGGAGTAGATCTGTAGCTCGGGTTGTGGGTGTTGAGGTTGGTTGGCTCGCCGATCTGGTTTGTGCCCTCCTGTCCAACTTCCCACCCCATCCGCTCTGCCAGTCTTTCAGCGACTCGCCCCGCTCCTCCATCTCCCACTCCTCCGGCTCCATGTATTCCGAGCAGCCCCCTTCAGCTCGGTCCCTTTCCTGCCGAGAGCCGGGGTAGGGGGAAAAGCCAGCACCTGCTAAAACGCGGCGTGGATTTTATTTCTTCACGGGCGGTCTGCTCCTCCTGGGTTGCAGGGACAGCTGCTTCACCAGGCGCTGTCAAAATGCAGAGGTGGCGGTGCCACAGGCGGGCTGAGCTACTCTTCAACAACAACAACAGCTTGCATTCACCTAGCGTGAGTTAGAACCGCGTGAAATTCGACCTGGAGCCACCCCAGTTAAAAAAAGGGCAACAGCCTGCATTTCTGTAGCTGCCTTTCAAGGGTCGTTGAATTGCAGTCACTATTATAATGAGACGTGCAACTTGTGTGCACAAAGCAAGACCCAACAAAAAAGGAACGTGGTAGCAAGAACTGCAGATGTTGGAATCAGAGACAACACAGTGTGAAGCTGGAGGAACACAGCAGGCCCGGCAGCAACAGGAACCTGATGATGACTGCAATTTTAATTTTTTGAAATTAACACCACCCAGTACATCGAGGGTTGCTGCTCCCCTCTCCTCTTCAAACAATGAGATTGTAAGTCAACCAGGCCACAGTTTAACGCCTCAAACAAAAGGCACACATCTGGCAGTGCAGCACTCCCTCAGTACTGCACTGCAGTGTCAGTCTTGACTGTCCTTCTCTAGACCTGCAGTGTGCTTTGAAGTCAGGCCCATGTGCCATTTACCCACTTGGGAAAGTGCACTTTTACTTCAGTCCCACCACTTCCGGGGTTGTTGCAAAAGGTAAAAATGTCATCAAATTATCTCAAAGTGTCAAATTTGCCTGCCTGATGAACTCAGGGTAACAGTCAACACTGACCAGATTCCTAAACTTAATTTTTTTTGGAAAAAAAAACCTATTTATTACAAGTAAGTCAGTTCCAACTACAGGCAAACAAAATATGGCTTATCAACTTATAATTCTCTAACTTAAACTCTACCCCTTTTTAAACTTTGGCATACACACACACACACACACACACAGACAAACAAAAACCAATGTTAAGGATGAAGGGAAGAAAAAGAAAATTAAGGGAATGTGGTTCAACAACACGATGCCATGGGATCAGTGAGGTGTCTTTTTACCTCCTCTGCTCTCTGATCACCTTCTTAAGTCCCTTCAGTTCTTTACTGACGACGCAGAGTGTTTCGCACATAATTTCTTAGTCACTGACTAACTGACTAACTCTGGAGTGCGGGAGGTTGAGAGGTGACCTTATTGAGGTCTATAAAATCATGATGTAGATAGGAGAATGATAATGGTCTTTTCTCCAGGATGGGGGTCTCAAGACTAGGGGGCACATTTTTAAGGTGAGGTGAGAGAGGTTTAAAAAAGACATGAGGGGCAAATTTTTTTTACACAGACAGCGGTTTGTGTGTGGAATGATCTTCCTGAGGAAGTGGTAGATATGGGTACAATTACAACGTTTAAAAGGCATTTGGATAAGTACAGGAGTGGTAAAGGTTTGGAGGGATATGGGACAAATGCAGGCAGGTGAGACTAGTTCAGTTTGGAAACATAGTTGACGTGGACCGAAGGTTCTGTTTCCGAGCTGCATGACCCTATAACTCTACTGCGACATTGCTGTAGGATGACCAAGACTAGGAACTGGCTACAAAAACAGAAGTTGCTGGAAAAGCTCAGCAGGTCTGGCAGCATCTGTGAAGAAAAAAAATCAGAGTTAACATTTTGGGTCCGGTTCTGAGGAAAGGAAGGATCACCGGACCCGAAACGTTAACTCTGATTTTTTTTTCCTTCACAGATGCTGCCAGACCTGCTGAGCTTTTCCAGCAACTTCTGTTTTTGTTCCTGATTTACAGCATCCGCAGTTCTTTCGGTTTTTAGTTAGGAACTGGAGAGTTTATTCAGCATCTGCAGCAATAAGCAAAAAGGAAAAGGAGACACGGTAGCACTCTTAATAAGGACATTTGATAAAGTCGCATGCAGGAGGTTAGTAAATAAACTTAGAGTGCAAAGGACTGGGAAAATATACTAATATAGATTAAGGTTTGGTTAACAGATAGATATCAGAAGAGACAGATCATTGACAGGATAGCAGTTTATTAAAAGTGGGGTAATACAAGGGACTGTATTCATTAAAGCTGTTCACAATCTGTGTAAATGATGTGAAGATCAATTGTAAATTCCAAATTTTAAATTTGCTGATGACACCAAACTGGGTGAGAACTGAAATTGAAGGAAGGATGCAAGGAAGTTTCAAGAGGACTTGGACAGGCTCAGTGAATAGAAGGTGGGATCTAATGTGATAAGTTTTTAAAAATTCATTTTTGTGGGATGTTGCTGGCTGGGCCCAGCAATTATAGCCCATCCCTAGTTGCCCCCTTGAGAAGGTGGTGGTGAGCTGCCTTCTTGAACCGCTGCAGTCCTTCTGCTGTGGGTTGACCCACACTGCTATTAGGGAGGGAATTCTAGCACTTTGACCCAGTGACAGTGAGGGAACAGTGATATATTTCCATGTCAGGATGGTGAGTGGCTTGGAGGGAAATTGTAGGGCATGGTATTCCCATGTAACCTGCTGCCCTTGGAAGTGGTCCTCAGTTTGGAAGAAGCTACCTGAGGATTTTTATATTATAACAGCATTTTGTAGATAGTACAAACTGCTACTACTGAGCGTTCATTGTGGAGGTTGTTTGTCCTGGATGGTGTCAAGCTTCTTGAGTGTTGTTGGAGCTGCACCCATCCAGGCAAGTGGGGAGTATTCCATCCCACTCCTGACTTGTGCCTTCTAATGGTGGACAGGCTTTGGAGAGTTGGGGGTGAGATATTTGCCACAGTGTTCCTAGCCTCTGACCAGCTCTTGTAGCCACTGTGTTTATGTCTGAGTGTCTGGGCAATGGTACCCCCCAGGATGTTGATAGTGGGGGATACAGTGATGGTAACACAGTTGAATGTCAAGGGACGGTGATTAGATTGTCTCTTATTGGTGATGGTCATAGCCTGGAATTTGTGTGGCATGAATGTTCCTTGCCACTTCTTAGCCCAAGCCTGGATATTATTCAGATCTTGTTGCATTTGATACTGCTTCAGTTTGTGAGGAGTCACAAGTGGTGCTGAACATTGTGCAATCATCGGCGAACATCCCCACTTCTGACCTTATGATGGAGGGAAGGTCATTGATGAAGCAGCTGAAGATGGTTGCGCTGAGGACACTACCCTGAGGAACTCCTGCAGAGATGTTCTGGAGCTGAGATGATTGACCTCCAACAACCACGACCATCTTCCTAAGTGTCAGGTATGACTCCAACCACCGGAGAGTTTGGCCCCTGATACCCATTGATTCCAGTTTTGCTCGGGCTCCTTGATGCCACACTCAGTCAAATGCAGCTTTGATATCAAGGGCTGCCACTCTCCCCTCAACTCTGGAATTCAGCCCTTTTGTCCATGTTTGAACCAAGGTCGTAATGAGGTCAGGAGCTGAGTGGCCCTGGCAGAACCCAAACTGGGCATCGCTGAGCAGGTTATTGCTGAGCAGGTGCTGTGTGATAGCACTGTTGATGACACCTTCCATCACTTTACTGATGGTCGAGAGGAGACTGATGGGGCGGTAATTGGCTGGGTTGGATTTGTCCTGCTTTTTATGTACAGGACATACATGGACAATTTCCCACATTGTCGGGTAGATACCAGTGTTGTAACTGTACTGGAACAGCTTGGCTAGGGGAGCGGCAAGTTCTGGAGCACAAGTCTTCAGTACTATTGCCAGAAAATTGTAAGGACCCACAGCCTTTGCTCCAACCATTTTTGGGTATCACATGGAGTGAATCGAATTGGCTGAAGACTGGTATCTGTGATGCTGGGAACCACTGGAGGCGGCTGAGATAGATCTTCCACTTGGCACTTCTGGCTGAAGATTGCTGCAAATGCTTCAGCCTTACTTTTTGCACTGATGTTCTGGGCTCTTCCATCATTGAGGATGGGGATATTTGTGGAGCCTCCTCCTTTAGTCAGTTGTTTAACTGTTTAATTAGCAGGACTGCAGAGCTTAGATCTGGTTGTGGGATCGCTTAGCTCTGTCTATGACTTGCTGCTTTCGCTGTTTGGTGTGCAAGTAGTCCTGTTTGGTGGCTTCACTAGGTTGACACTTAATTTTCAGGTATGCCTGGTGCTGCTCCTGGCATGCCCTCCTGCACTCTCCATTGAACCAGGGTTGATCCCCTGGCTTGATGGTAATGGTTGAGTGGGGGATATGCCGGGCCATGAGGTTACAAATTGTGCTGGAGTACAATTTTGCTGCTGTTGATGGCCCACAGTGCTTCCTAAATGTCCAGTCTTGAGTTGCTAGATCTGTGCGAAATCTGTCCCATTTAGCACGGTGATAATGCCGCACAACATGATGGAGTTATTCTCAATGTGAAGGCAGGACTTCGTCTCCACAAGGACTGTGCGATGGTCGCTTTTACAGACAGTGTCACGGACAGATTAATCTGCAGCTGGCAGATTGGTAAGGATGAGGTCAAGTATGTTTTCCCTCTTGTTTGTTCCCTCACCACCTGCCGCA